AAAAAAAAAATAGTACAGAGTACCATAATGGAAGTGAATTTAATCAAGATTAAATTGAATTTTATGCAGATCAACTCACAGCTCTGTCCAACATATGCAACTCTGAGAATGACATTAAAACTAAATGAAACACCATATTGCCTAAAACACAAAGTTTAAAACAAAACAAAAGCAAGGACGGTTCAACATTTTAAAATTATAACAATAATTATTTCACTAATAAATATAAAGGAGAAAACTATATATGTAGTTTCTCTATATAGAGAGAGACAGAGAGAGATTTGGAACTTTCATCACAGAAGACATATGAATAATTAATAAATGCATAAAAGAATGTTCAACATCATTAGTCATTAGGATAATGCAAATTAAAAACCTTAAGATACTACTTCATATCCATGGCTGTAATTTAAAAGACAGGTAATATCAAGTGTTGGCAAAGGTATAAATTGAAACCTTCATCATTACTGGTGATAATACAAACTGTTATAGCTACTTTAGAAAATCATTTTGCAGTTTCTAAAGAGTTAAATATAAACAGTATGTAATTCAGCAATCTTACTCCTAGGTAGTTACCCAAGAAAAATGAAGTCATATGTTCATAACACTCTGTTCATAGTAGTAGTATTTATAATAGTTCCAAACTGGAATCACCATACATACCCGTCAACTAATAAGTGGATAAACAAAATGTGGCAAGTTCACACAATGTACTAAATTGCTCTATATTTATCCCATCCATACAATGGACTACAAAGGATTATTCCTCCATATTAATGAATATGTAAAGGAACATCTAACTCAGTAATATAAAGGAACAGACTACAGTACATGCTAGGAATATAATTATGCTAAGTGAAAGAAGCCAGACATAGAAAATTACATACTGTATAACTCCATTTACATGAAATGCCCAGAAACAAACAAATCCAGAGAGATGAAAGGATTAGTAATTATGTGACATTAGAGTAGGAATGAGATAGAGCACAAATAGGCCTGAGGTAACTTTTTGGGGTAAAATTTTTCTAAAACTACATTGTGGTAATGATTGCACAACTCTCTGAATATATGAAAAATAACTGGATTGTACATTCTATGGTACTTAAATTGTACTTTAATAAAGCTGTTAAAATCACATCTGGGAAATTTGCCTTACAACACATATTTAATCAGTACTCTGAAAAATTATTTGTGTCAATGAAATTGGGAAGGAAGCAAAGCATGAGAAAACATAAAAGTAATTCAGTTTGGGGTATGACTACCTAACAGATACTAACAACTTTAAGAAGAGCCCAGAGAAATAATAAAAACTACAATTTTTCAAAGATAAGAATTATGATAAAAATGCTAGAACAACTGAAATCAGCTGATGTAACAAAAGAACAACTAGTTCGTTAAGGGCCACTAAGTATGAATAAAAATATAATTGATCCATATTAGTTGTTCTATTTATTTACACAAAACAATTATTTGAAGTCTCTAAACCTACCCATGTAGATGGGTGTCCCACATGTGGTCTGCAACATGGCCTCGCTCCTACCCTGCTTCTTCACCGCTAAGCCAAAATCCGTCACCTAGGAGAAACTCACACAGAGTCAAAAGTTTTCTTGTCTCAGAGCTTCACTCAGTCCGAAGGGAAGATTTTCCAGTACACTGTAATAATAGCATTTGATTCAGGGGTTCTGAGGATGGAGGGGTTCTACTTGTATGAAGAACTTTGCCTTCCCCCCTCCCACCTCTTTTTGTGAAAAAGGAACTTAGTAAAGAGAAGCTTAGTTTCTTAAATCTTGAGAAAATACCGATGATGTTGGATTGTCCATTCTTTCTAAATAAATTTAGAAGTACAACATAGGAAGTTGTATTTTCAAAGAAGACGTTTAATTCTTTTTCCGATAAAAGTCACTTAAAAAAAATCTCTTCCATTGCAAAATAAATTCTGCTCTGAGTATGTTATTATCCATTTCTCTAATAATTTAAGCTATGATCCAATTTAAAGCACTGATAAAAATGAAAATCATTATTCTTGTCAGTACTCACTGAAACGTTGCATTTTATAATTATTTATAAAGCACTACTTATAGCAAATACCATCTTTACTATTATTTCCTTTGTTTCTAGACTATCCCAATTAAAACAATTACTACACTATTAAAAACCATATGAAACAAATTAACAGGAAAAAGAAAACAGTGTAACTACTAATACACTGGAGGCCTACTGCTGCAACTGCAGCCTTTCTGCTGAGTTCTAAATCTTGGTCATTAAACATTTGGTTATTAAATATTCAGCATGTGCCCTTGGTCTTGTCTCCCTAGTTGGAAGAGCCTTGGGCTGAAAGCAGAAAAACAAGTACATTTTTTGTCATACAACCAAAAATAGGCTCTTGGTCTATAGACACACAAAGATTCCAATGCCTTATTAAGAAAACGTTTCTATCAACATTGATACTGCTACTTAACTGAACATAATAATCAATTTCTCTAGGAATTTTTGAAATTATCCTACTTAGAACATGATGATACATGTGCTTGGCCACAGAAAATCTGCACAGGTCTCAAACACAAGATTTCATGATCCAATTCAATTATTTGGTGAGCATTTATTTTTTCATTCTCCAAACATTAACTGAGCATATACTATGTGTTAGGCACTACTCTATATACAACAGTGAGTAATTCCTGCCCTCATGGAGTTACAGTGGAATTATTCAAGAACATTTACTTGGTTAAAAAAATCATTGCTGTTAAACCTACTATATAGGGATTTAGCTTCAATAACAGAGTAAGTTATTCACAGAAAACATTTTCTTCTTAAATTAACACATTCATATATTTTGAAAGCAGTCACTATTAAAGTGCTAAGTAATAATGTATCCTATCATTTATTTAACATTAAGAAACACTTAATTTGAATAAAATCTTCAAAAATAAACACTTGGCATATTAATCATACTGAGGACATAAATATTAATACTCAGGAAAATGTTCAATGAGAAAGACTTAGCATTAATTTAGTATAAAAAGCACAGCCAAGGTATGCTTTGCTCTAAATCTGTAACACATTTACATCAAATCACCAAGCATAATTTGGAAATTAATTAAAATTCAGAGCATCTGTGTACTCACTATTAACTAATGATTTAAAACTATTCAAATGCATATGTACTAAAAAAAATCAATAGTACCACTTAACTTGTAAAATTATTCTTATCATGTACAAGCTCTTTTGTGAAATTTTTATTTTCTAAATACAAGCGACATATTTTCTGATGCTCAAAAGCTTCCAAAATATACAAAGAAGATGTACTTTGTCACTCTGCTATCAAGCTATTTATAGGCAAATGTTTACCACCATTCCTAAGGCCTTACCTTTATGTTTAAGTTCATTTCATTGTTAGCATCAATAAAACTGCTTTTAACCAATATGTTTTCCAGTTTTAGGTCTCTATGTACTATATCTACCAAGAAAATAAATAAAAGTCAAATTAAATTAATAAGGAAAAGTAACTAGAGGGGACGCAATTAGAACAAAGAAATATATTTGACAAATGAAGTGTTCACCATTGAAAAATTTGAGGACCAAGTGTAACTCTGCCACTCCATTTCCTTGTATTAAAATCCCTTTTTTATCATGTTTTTAACCTGAAGGAACCATTTTCCTTCCTGCCTAGTCTCCACCCACCCCCTGTTGCCCAACAGCTGCTCTCTGTAACAAAGGGCCTGGTGAGGGTAGCAGAGGAGCTTGCCTGGGGTTAGGTGTTCCCAGGTAGGAAAGAGACAAAGGCAGCTAGGAGCCCAGGCAGGTTTCCCATGTTGTCAGATCTTCAACTAAAGGACTGTTTCTTTACTTCTATGTATCTATTAATACCGATATAAATATTTAACACATTGCAATTTGACTACATGTATATATATTGTACTTACTTAGGTATGGATTTTTCTACATCTACACACACTTTTCCTACTCTCTATAGTTACTGTTAAAGACAAAAGCCGGGCCCCTCTCTGGTGGTGCAGCGGGTTAAAGCACAGCACTAAGAAGCTAGAGCCACTTCAGCAAGAGTTTGATCCCCGCCTGCCCCGGAGGTGACCCACATGGTGCAGCAGACCTCTCCTGACCTGCCCGCTGCTCCCCTCAGCAGTGTACTTCGTCAGTCGGCCTATTCTGCTCCCCACTCTGTCTCTGGTGAAGCTTCTCACTGCCCCTGCACCTCATACCCAGTTCTGTATGAGTAAATAAGTAAATCTTTAAAAAAAAAAAAAAAAAGACAAAAGCCCCTTTGGACACAAATACCTCCATTTGAACATGTCAGACCGCAAGTAGAAATTTCATATGTATGTAAATAGTCATGTATCAAACACTTCTTTGAAAACAATCGATTCTGCTCATAGCTACAGTAATCATTTCTCTAGACATAAGAAGTTTAATGTATAATTGTTGGGAAAATGTAGTTGAACGAGCCCTGAACAGGAAATTATATCTAACCATTTCTAGTTAGTTCACTCACATTCTCAGACTTTGTTTTTAGAATTTTTTTCTGTTATCTCCTTTGGTTACCTCTTCTTACATAGGTACCACACAGCTCTAATTAATATATTTTTGTGACATATTTTGATCCTCGGCAGGGCATGTCTCCCTGTTGCCTCCCTTGTTTTCTTAGTTGTTCTCCCCTGATTTGAATAATTTTATTAAGTTCCATGAAAATTTCTATTCAGATTTTGTTTTGAATTATACTGAATTTATAGCGTAGTAAGGGAGAACTGGCTAAGCTAAGCTTACAATACTAAGCTTTTGATTTCCTGCCCTTGCAAAACCTGGTGCCTCTCAAGTTTTGTATCCTCTGTGAATTTTGATCTTCCAAATTAAAAAAAAGAAAAAGTTATGCTCCTTGCATTTCATGTGGCTCTCCATTACAGAAATTATCATACTGAATTATAATTTATTTTCTATAGTCACTCTCTCACCAGTCCCCTCTTTTGATCTTATAACTCTAGTAGCAATCACAGTACAGTAGGGTGTAGTCCTACCTCTGCTATACCTAATGGCGTCCCTCCCTCCATTTCTCTAGAACAAGGTGTTTTTCTCATCTGTAAAATAAAAAACTTCTAAAGTAACAAGTAGACAAAATTAACCTTGAAGGAAAAAAAGAGGAACGCAAAAGAAGCAGTAGTAACATGAAATAACAGTAAAGCAATTCGGACAGTTAGGATACTTTGCAAATATGGATTTTAATGTAGTGAAACTATTTTTGCTTGGTGCTACAATGGCGTTATGTATTCATCAAAAATGATAGAATGTATACCACCAAGAAGAAAACCTAATGCAAACTGTGATTTGGGGTGACAATGCTGTATCAGTGTAGGTTTATCAGCAGTGACAAAGGTTCCACACTGCTGGGGGATGTTGGCAATGGGGAAGGCCGTGCCTCTGTGGGGGCGGGAGAATATGGGAAATCTCTGCATTGTTTGATTTTGATGTGAACCTAAACTGCCCTAAAAGTTAAATCTAAAAAAAAAAGCCTAAAATACAGATTTTAAATATCAATGTTTTTATTTATTATTGTCTACTTTTGATATTTGCTGCTTTTCAAAGTGCTAAATAGAAATGTTCTTAACTTTATTTTTGTCCATGTAGAATGTAAATGTCTACTTGCCATGTTTTAAATTAAGCACAATCTGTAAGTAAAGTTATGAAATAATATTTTTAATTTTTAAAAGGTAAAATCTTCTATATTAATAGGCACAATTTCTATGATTCTGAGTCCTGAATACAATTATCCATAAACAAAAGTGACATATGTAGTGATGGGGTGAATGAGCTAAGCTGAATGATCTTCTTACCATTACTGTGAAGATAGGCTATAGCTGATGCAAGACTTTGAATGATCCACCTTGTCTCATTCTCTGAGAAATACTTTTTCCTATCCAGAATTTCTTTGAGTTCTCCATCCTCACAAAGTTCCATCACAAGATACATTTTCTGAAATTATTTAAAGAACAAGCCAGTTATATAGTTGGGCATCTTTAAAACGTTATATATTACATCGAAAGTGGGATCATGATCATCAATCTATTTATTCCAAAATATTTATCAAATATTACATACAAGAAGCTGCTGAGGACACCAGAGGAATGTATCTTTACCTATCCCTACCTTTATCTATCTCTTTACCACCAAGGCGCTCACAGTACAGTTCTGACAATCTCACATGCTCGTGCTAGGGAAGAGGTCTGCCCCAAATGCCCTGAGGCTACACAGAAGGGAGCCACTGAGTGGTGATATTCAAGGCAGGCCCAGATGTCTGAAGAGAGATTCATGGGTAGGGAACGAAGCAAAACAGGCAGCACACCAGGTATTTGTGAAGACATCAAAGCTTAAAACAACACTGCTGTCAAAAGAACAAATATCTCAGTGCTAGTAGCATTGGGAGTTTGGCAGGGTATGGAAAGGTGAAGAGGATGGAACCAGGTTGTAAAGTATCTGGATATTATGCAAAGGAGTTCATCTTTTACTAAAAATTTTTAAGATGTTGTCTGGAGCGTGGGGAAACCTGTGTGCTGTTTTCATCAATGAATTACAGAAATGAACATCCTAGCCATGTATAGAGCAGGAATCAGCAAACTTTCCCTGTAAGGCCAGACACAGGTAGTAAATATTTTTGGCTCTGCAGGTCATACAACTCCACTTTGTGGTTATAACATAAAGGCAGCCATAAACGATTCAACACAGCTTCTTTTTGGACTTTGAAATTTTACTTTTATATAATTTTAATAATATTGCTGTTAATTTTTTTCAACCACTAAAAAATATAAAATATTTAGATCATATATGCCATAAGATAAAAACTGGCAGTATGTTAGAACTGGCTTGAGCGCTGCCAGATGCTGACCTCTAGAGAAGATGTAAAGTACAGGCCAAAGACAATAAGAGGAAAGACAGCGATGGGGAAACACCTATAAGGAAGGAACAGGGGACTGAGTGACTAACTGGGTATGTGTGATAAAAAGCCATGGATGGAATATCTCTTCCACATTTGCTGTTTCTGTTGGTAGCCATTAGGATCATTTCAGATATTCTCAACAGTTCATTTATTCAGTCAAAAAGATTCAAAGTCTATTAAAATGCAGGTCTTTTCACAACAGTTGCTACCCAGACACAGACTGTCCTCCATGTCTTCATACTATCCTCCGACACTAGATTTTTGTGTTTGTTTTTAAAATTTGGGGTTATATTCTATATCCAATACTAATGCAACTATGTTCAATCAAAAAGCATGAAAATAGAAAGAGAAGTTAACATCCTTTCTTTTGTAGACAAAATTCTGATTCACTAAACCTCATGGTGCTTTAGAATTTCAAAAATAACTAGGGAATTGTGCAACATCTAAAACATAAATAAGCTTTTTTTTTTTTTAAAGATTTATTTATTTGTGCATACAGAACTGGGGTACAGGCCAGAGGCTCAGGGGCGGTGAGAGGCTTCACCAGAGACAGAGTGGGGAACAGAACAGGCAGATCGACGAAGTACACTGCTGAGGGGAGCAGCGGGCGGGTCAGGAGAGGTCTGCCACGCCATGTGGTCACCTCCGGGACAGGCGGGAATCGAACTCATGCGGAAGCGGCTTTAGATTCTCAGTGCTGTGCTTTAACCCGCTGCGCCACCAGGGAGGGCCTAAATTAGCTTTTGAGTTGGGCTGTATTTGTTTCCCCTGAGAGCACTGTAGGGATCACTGGTACATAAAATAATAAGTAAACTATTTGGAAGGGAGAGTTGATTAGCAATTCATACAATTTGATGTCAATTTTAAATATCTAAGGTTAAAAAAATCAGTGTCCATAAAAGTTTTAAAAATCATTTTTATAGTTATTCAAAAATAATTGTGTAAACCTAGAAAATATTTCAACTAGAAACTATAACCCGGTCAGATTGGATAATGATTACTAATACCAATCAGGCAGCAACTTCCAGTAGTGCTTAAGATGGCTTCAGTGGAAAGTCTAGGCATTTGTGTGAATTGAAAGAGGGGTTCGAAAAAAAAGTAAAAGGGGTTTTGGGGAAGGCAGGTCTGATCTGTGGGAGTCCAGGTCAAGTAGTAATAGTAGCAGAGGATGGCTTCCTTTGTCTTCAGACTACTTTAGATACAGATCCCTACCTGTACCCAAGATGCAGTAACACAAATTACATTCACCCTTCCTCCTGAAACAACTCAAAAATGGACAAACTAAATAAAACAACTTTCAGACATTTGACATCAGACAGCATAGGACAATGATCCCCAAGAGAGAAAAAGCACATGAGGCAAGCTCCCGGCTACCCTAGCTTACTGGCTGGAGAGTTTTCATTGTACAGATGAGGAAACTAAGGCATGGAGTGGCTGGAGAGCTGTGACTAGTCTCACAGCCAGTAAGTGACAGAGCCAGGGTTCGTTCACATGCACAAAGCCTCTGCCTGTAAGGCCACAGGCCCAAACACCCCATGTACTGCCTTCGGGCAGGGCCACACCCAAGCCCATGGCCAGGAAACAATCCAGAGACAGAATGGCAAGTAACACAGACTCAAGAACAACTCCAAATGAAAAGTACAAACATTAAAAGAGCAGAATGATAACACCTAAGAAAGAAAGAGAGATTAAACATGTAGGTAAAGACACAAACTGACAAAATGTCTCCTTCATAGTGCCAAATATACCCATGGTGACTATCATGAAGTTAATGTGAGAGTATGACCACGTTCCAAGAAATTCTAGTGGAGAAACCAAGGACCAAAGCAGAAGCAAAACCACCCCTCAGGAAGTCCTAGTACCATGTGGTGTGTATAAAGTCGTTTCATATTTAAACATTTGTTTTCAAGGTACCACACAGAAAAGTCACTAATAGCAATTTAATCATCAGGCACTTAATTATAAGATTAATACTAAAAGTCCTGCAGAATGTTCTCGTCAGCCTCGAGTGACAGACCCAGGCCAAGGACTTGAGCAACAGTGCCCCCAAGGGATTACTTCAGAACGGAATGATGTTCATTTTGTAATAAAACAACTTTCAAAACGCAGCCCCTGACAAAGTCTTACCCTAGGTGTCTCAAACACTTGTTCCAGGTGTATAATGTGTTCATGTTTCACACATTTTAGGATGTTCACCTCCCGTTCCAGTAACTTCACAGCAGAGCGTCCAGCCTTAAATAAAGATGGAAGAGTGTCATTATTACACAGCTCAATATAAATTATTTTATATTTTCCCTACATTTCCCTGAAAAGTTTCTTTTTAAAAAAGATAGCAAGCAATGGATTACTGTAAGATTAAATGATGCATCTAATTTCCTTTGTCCACTTTTAAATTTATATAATCTGACTTTAAACCACACCTGTTTCTACAAAGTAGCTACAACACAGTATCTCCTCACAAAATTATTTCAATTTTAATATGCTTTTTTGGTATTTCCTTCAAAATCATGTTGGTTTTTTGATGTTAGCATAATGAAAAAAAAAGTCTACAAAAAGAAAAAGAAAGAAAGAAAAAAAGTCTACTTTCCAGGTCCATCAATTGGACAAGAGAAAGATAAAATGCTTGCTTTTTTTTTTTTTTGGTTTTGAACCAAAAGAAGAGGAATCCTTTCATGTAAAGCCTTAACCATACCAGACAGCAAAAAATAAAGGCAGGAACATTTCACAGAGCACAAAGCCTTCAATTAGGGTGTAAGGATTTGATAATCTACAATATCATCTAAGAAATTCTAGGACTTTCTCCATCTACATCATCACCACAGTCCAATCATCATTCCTATTGAAATTTAAATTACCATCACAATTTAAGGTGAAGCTTTGTCCTTATGTATATATAAATATACCCTTATGTATATATAAATATGCTTGAAGAGATAACAAAGGTCTTACCCTCCCTCTTTTACCCCACTCCTCCAACCCCTAAGTATATAATAGTTCTTAAAGGACTGGAAAGGGATGCATCACAAGGCAAACTTTACCTAACTAAATTTTTTCCTAGGGTCACCCTTGCTTCCAATTACCTTTATCCTCCAGCCATTACCATTCCAGTAAACTACCCACCTATTAAGCCCCACCCCAGGATGAAAGTCACATTTTAATGTGACTGAAGAGTGGAGGGAATCTGGAGCAAGAGAAAAATAGTGACTTTGAGGAGTGAATTCCTCTCGAAACTAGATCTGGAAAGTTTCCACAACTTCTCCTAATATGGGTCTCAATTCTAGTTGTAACTCCCTCCCTAGAGGCCTTGATCTGTACGTAATATAATAGCCAACATTCTTCATCATATATTAGCCATATAATTTTGCTTTATCATCTTAGTGTCCTATACACAGCATCAATAGAATAGATGTATACATGATTATGAATTCCTAAAGTAGCAAGCAGGTATCTTGACTATATAAACCTAAAACTTAACTCCTAACCATACCTGACACCAAAGGGGCAAAGGAAATAAAATCCCATGCACAACTTGTTGGGAGTGACCAAGTGCGGAAATTTACTGAGGGACTGGACAAGGGCAGTAATAATCAGGCCTTGCATCCAAGGGTGATAAGGCGGTAATAAACTGGGCCTTGCATCCAATTAACTGGGCCTTGCACCCCGGATGGGGCTAGAAGAAGGTGATAACGAACTGGGCCTTTCATCTAAGGACACAGCGAGGAGTGTCCCCTTTGGAATCTGAGCTTAGAATCTATATAAGCCCTCATGGGGCTAGCAGTAGCTGCGGACCCCACCTAGGGAGCTCCATCTCAGCTGCTGCCCAGGAGCAATAAACTCTGCTTGCTCAGCCTTTCTGCCTCCTGCCTTTCTTTCTAGCAGCCAGTCACAGAAGTTGGGACAAAACACAACCATGGCTTTAAAATTCTAAAGTTTTCTAGAAAGTCTCTCTGGATCTCCTTTTATGTAGATTTATGTGATTTTTATTAAAGTTTAGGGAGCAACACTATGTAATTTTCCATTGTTGGTTTTAAAGGCCACTGTTTCATTCTGTAAATCTACTATCACAAATTCAAGGAAAAACTACAATGTGGTGGAAGACGATGGGCCTTGGAGATGGGTATGGTGTGGTGACATGCACCTAAGAGTGTATGACCCTCTGCTTCTGCATCACATCCAGGGTGTAAAACAACATCAACTGAATTAGACACACACACACAATAATGCTGTCTTTTGGTGCTTCCCCTCCCCCACAGTCCCCGCCCCC